GGGTTGGTGCACGCAGCCAAAGCAATCACACATTTCCCTGATAGCGTCCAGCAGCACCGGACAAATGCCAAGCTCCCCAACATCTCCCTGCTCCACCTGAAGCCGGGGTGTTTCCCTGGCACAGCCCCTCTGGGCAGCGCTGAGCTGGTGTTGCTGGTGCAGCCCTCCCCCTGCACACCCTGCTCCTCTGGTGCTGGAGCTCACCCCTGCTCCTCTGGTGCTGGAGCTCACTCCTGCTCCTCTGGCGCTGGAGCTCACCCTGCACTGACACGTCTTCCAGCCACGTCCACTGTCCCTCAAAGCACTGACCCAAGGGAGGTGGGAAAAATGAGTTTCCCAGTGCTCACACCTGCACGAGCATCGTGTGCTGGGCCGCTCTCCCGTGCCTTTCCCGTGGGGTATTTTTTGCCAGGCAAAGCTATTGCAAGAATAAATCTCCACCTGAGATCCAGGCTGGCCAGGAGAGCGGGCACAGGGCGGCACAAAGGGCCGAGGTGGAAGATCCAGGCAGGAACTGAGTCCAGAGACTCAGAAACAATTTTGGGGAGGACGGCTCTACCCAACACAACCCACCACTGACTGCTCCTCTATCCACACACGCCAAACCTCGAGGCTCCTCCAGCTCCCCCTGGGGCTGCGGGGGACAGCCTGGACCCCTCGCAGGAGGAGCTTTGGCTTAAGGCTGACTGATACCAGAATTAAGCATCGTGTCTATCCCACCTCTCAGCCCGTCCTTCTCCTCCCAGCCCCAGGAGCAGCCCGGCCCCTCTCTCACCGCCCTGCCCGCAGGACTCAGCTGCCTCCAGCTCCCAACTCCCTGATTTTCCTGCTGCTCCCTGCTCTGACATCCACCCCACCAGCACCCTGCCTCCACCCGGCCCAGCCTCCGACTCCTGAGCCCCAGGAGGGAGTGGAAATGGTCCTTTCTCTTGTTTCAAGCTCCTGCTCATGAGTACAACATTTCTGATAATCATAATAATCATAGTACTAAAAACATTATTTACAACAAGCTCCAGGTCAGAATTACACACCAAGCAAACACTCAGCACCACAGAGAGCAGGACAGGGTTAATATCTTGCAGATACCTTCTCAGATCCCACCAAGGCGGGACACAGACGTTTGACAGTTTCAACCCTTTCTTACACACAAACATTTCATTTAAATTACTTTTAAATTATTATTATTTTTTTAAAACTTCTTTAAAATGTCTGGTCACTAGATGGATGAGGTGATGCTGGCGGCGACGCCGCCCTCTACACAGATGCTTATCTAAGACAGCTGCTACTATAAACTGATCATTAGCTACTGTTAAGAAATTCAACCCTCAGTTTCCTTCCCTTCTCCCTCTTTGCCCTAAATCTTCTCTTTTTGTCACTGACAGCCCTGGGGCTTTCTAACAGTCCTGTCCTCCCCCCGGCCCCGGCAGAGGGTTTGGAGTAAGGTAGCCCTTCATTTTAGGAGCACATCAAACTGTGGCCATGGAGGGATCCCTCCCAAATCCATCTGATTTCCAGGGAGATTAGCCAAGAGCTCCAGGATCTGAGCTCCAGCAGCTGCTGCTCTTTGGCTTTCTGTGGGGTTTCTGTGACTGCCTGGTGCTCACCCCAGGCCGTCATCAATT